CTAAAGCTTCACGAAGCTTCTTCTCAGCCTCTTTCCCTCGCTCTTCACTACGACAGGCAAGAACTACATTCGCTCCCTTGCGCGCAAGTTCGAGAGCAGTCTCATACCCAATGCCAGAGTTCGCTCCTGTTATAATAACAGTTTTACCCTTCTGAGATGTGATCTGCGAAGCATTCCAGTTATTGGGAACTTGAGGACGACTATCATTCTTGGCGCAGGAAGTGTTGACCATTTTGATTGATTTAATGGGAGGAAGATTTGGAAATGGAGTCTATCTGAGTCAAGGTACTTCATTCAATGATTCGTCATCTACGTACGCATGGTAATGGTACGTATGCCACCATATCCATTGATTTACTTGACATACTGTATCAAGGAATCAGTGAATCAACTGAATTAATTTGTATTAAAATCTTGGAAGAAGTGTACTGATTACGAAAGTAACATCGATACTTCTACGAAAATGATGAGAATGTTTAGTCCCACTAGAACAGAACAAGTGTATTCAGTTAAAATTAAAAGCATAAAAAGTGCATAGAATGGATTGTGAGCTCGTCTTATCTGGCAGAGCCATCAATTTCGTGAGGATTTTAATTGGTGTGTATGTATTTTGATTACGAACACTGATGTGGATCACACAACTTGTTTACACCGCAAAACATACGTCTGTGGATAACACGAAGAACCCTAACTTTTCGGGGCAACAAGCTCTATACAACAACTTTAACAGACATATGCTACGATACTTGTATGGGAGTAGTTAAAATCCACCGGAATATGCGAAACACGGTTATACTATACTTTCATTTGCGTGATCGATTGCGGATGTGAGAAAATATTATCGATCTTTATCACATTGATTGTTTGTCAAGACGACTATTCTTTAGTTCGCACTGGGTCATGTTGGCATTAAGCAAATCAATCATTTTTTATTAATAAGAGCGATCGTTGTAGATGGCTTTGGCTCCTTAGCATGACAGTTTGACTATAAATCCATCATCATGTGGTGTACACAAGTGTGGATTCGATCACATAATCAACGTATCTTTCCTCACAAAAAGGAGGCCTCGTGCATACAAACAGTAAGCAGCTCTGATATGGTAAACGTCAAAGCTCTCTGTCCCAACAATCTATGTGAGGATAAATACTCTCGTAATCAACAAATGGTCTCATCATGCGCCAAATTATACAAACAATATCTGGAAGTTAGTAATATTAATGTAGCGAATTCTCTTTATTGTTTACTCAAGCATATGTATCGTGACAATCCATCATATGTATCAAGTCATCCAGCCATGTGTATCGAGGCCATCCGCCGCTTCTACGTGTAGAATAAATGATTACGAATCCTTCGAAGAAATTTCGTAACTCAGATTGATATCATTTCCAAATCTTCCTTCCATTAAATCAATCAAAATGGTCAATACTTCCTGCGCTAAGAATGATAGTCGTCCTCAAGTCCCCAATAACTGGAATGCTTCGCAGATCACATCTCAGAAGGGTAAAACTGTTATCATAACAGGAGCGAACTCTGGCATTGGGTATGAGACTGCTCTCGAGCTTGCGCGCAAGGGAGCGAATGTAGTTCTTGCCTGTCGTAGCGAAGAGCGAGGTAAAGAGGCTGAGAAGAAGCTCCGTGAAGCTTTAGCCTCGACTGCTGATGCTGGCAGCGTCAACTTTAAGAAACTCGATGTGAGTGACTTAAAGAGTGTTTCCAAGTTTGCGAATGAGTTCAAATCTTCACATGATCGTCTGGATTTATTAATCAACAATGCTGGAGTGATGGCTGTTCCGTATGCTCAGACTGTGGATGGTAACGAACGTCAATTTGCTGTGAATCACTTGGGTCATTTTGCGCTCACGGCTACGCTCTTTCCA